GAACCCACAAGCATCTGTAACACAGCATTGACATGGGCACCAGAAGGGAAAAGGAAACGGGGTAGACTCAAAACAACTTGGCGACGCACTGTAGAGAAGGAAAGAAACAAGGCTGGATGGAAGTCATGGGCGGAAGCCAGAGTTGCAGCAGCTGATAGGACAGAATGGAGACGTTCGGTGGAGGCCCTATTGTGCCATTGGCATCTGGAGGATAGGTAACATAAGGTATATGTCGATAATATGGCAATATCACAATGCGCATTGATCTGCATAATTGATAGTTAAACATTCAACATTTGCGTAATATGCAAATCTGGAAGAGTTTACAGACAATGATACACATATTAAATCGTGAAAAATGTAATCAATTAACTAGAAATTAACTAAGATCACCGCCCAGACTAATTAAGACATATGCTAAACATTTTAGATTAAGGCGATTCGTATATGTTATTTTGACTTGTACATAATAGTACAGTGATTTGTACCCACGAATTCAACATTGGTTAATCGTCTCCTAACTTTGACAATTAACGTGAAATATCATGTTGCCACCTGCCCTCTACGGCAATATAATTAATTTTACTAACGTTTGTCTACGATTGTTAGTGCTATTCTATACTGTATAGAAATGTAACAATTGAAACTCCATATGAAACATTAAGACCATGTCATGCTGACTGTTTTCTTCTTGTTCGGAATTTGCATGTTTTATATATGTATATGTAGTTTGGCAACCAGACACTATATGTTCGTTTTTTAAATTTCAGTTAGGGACTAATTAATTAAATCTAATTTTACTGAAAACTTCATTAGTATCTTTGAAATGTGATCCATATTATTTTACCAGAGAGATATCAGCAAAAAAATAAATATTATCATTCATTATACATGACATCACTCCCTCAACTGGTCTTTATAGTATGACCTTTGGACAGATGAGTAAAGCAAATATACACGATTCCGTCAGAACATACAGATTGCCAGGAGTACCATATATAAACCGACTGTAACTGGCAGGTTTGGTAACAGATTACTTTAGACTTGTAAGCGGAAACACACAGGTATGTATTACTAAATAATTAAGACAGCTTTGGAATATGTACGGTGTATCATTGCGGCAATGTGTAATGTGGCTGTTAACATCGCCATGTATGTTTGGTGAGTTTATGGTTGTGATCAATGAAATATACATGCCAAGCATGCGTGTACATCACAAAAGAATTTGAAATAACTGTAATGGATTAATTACAGACGTCACACAAAACGAACTTATGGATGAAAGAATTATTCCTGCAAGCACATGAGGTGACTGGGCTACAACATAAAGTTAATAATTTACAGTCGTGTGTGTTTGTGTCAGCCTCCAAACATCGAACACGTATTGCTTCATGAAATGCATTGCGAAAACGTCATTGAAACTCTTAAATAATGTAATTCGAGAAAGCAGTATTCGACTCCTGGAAGACTCATAACAACTTGTTGTCTCTGAGTTATGATAGAATGTATCCATCACACGTCGTTTCGAACTCTGACCTTTGACATAGTGTCGATAAGAAACACATACACACACAACAAAAGCAGACATAAATGTGTACAGCCACATCCTGTAATCTAGTTCAAAACTAGGCGAAGAAAAAAATCAATTTTAATTGAAATTTCATATGTATGAAATGCATTTATACACCATTACAGCAAGTCGAGATTTTTCTAGTTAATCATTATATTTCATGGTGCCATGGACTGTATGTTTTGGGTGAAGAGTTCATCTTGTTATATACAGTTTGTTTAGTTTCGTTGATTGTAATCTGAGTTCTAGTTAATAAGTACAGTCATCACGCACTTCAGTTAGCTTACTCCAGTTTATTCATGTATGGGCAAAGTGCTAAGCTAAAAAATATTAATAGTTATAAAGCTAGAAATTGAGCACTGGAGAGTAATTCATTTATTTCATTATTGTGCCCTCTCGGTACAATACCAACTGTCTCGTCATTCGTTCGAAATCGAAGGAAGGGAAAAATAACTTACAGTAAATAAATGCGAGCATGTTTTTATATTACGTTATACGAAATACAACGAGCAGAGAAGCACAATACAATTCTTCACTCTCAAATTTATATTAGCGTTACGATGACAACCCGAAGTATTTCACAGTTCGGCATAGATAAACAAAACAAATTGTCTGCGAATACCGATAAAAACTCAACACACATACACTGTGCACGTGCGTAAAAGTAAAAAACAACAACATGGGATAACAACGTGGAATTTCTAAGAAACCGACGGATTCCGGGGGGGGATGATCGAAAGATGCAAATTTTTACCAATGAGAATCTTTTAATGTTGTATTACAGTATCAGCTATCTGCAAGTACCCACGAAGAAGGAACATAGGATAGGATAGTTTTTACGAACGGAGCAGATTATTTTACCAAACTTCTAAAATGTCAAAACGTAAGTATTGATAGTATTACATAGCGTTCATTAATTTAATTAATTAAAAGGATACTGTAAATCCTGTATACGACTGTATATGTACTCACAGTGACCCTTGGCGAATTTAAAAACTGTGACAATTAACCATGTATCTAACGACGGGCCGTTAAATTCACCAATCCTCCTTCCAGGTGTGACTGCCCGCTACGCTCGAAACAAGAAAGGATCCCATACAAGTTTGACGTGTTCGGATATTGATGAAGGAATTGATAGATTACCAAGATATGCTCATAATATTTGCCGTAAGATGGACCATAGTAAGTGATATTCTATTCACTCGTGACGTCAAAAAATAAACCATTCCGGGTCGTACTGATTACTTCAACAGGATGAGTCGATACAATTAGTAAACAATGTATTAATACAATTCCTGTAATATATGTTTATAATATCTATCTTAAACATGCAAGTTGTTGATCATAAATAATACTGCAACGTCGCGTAAACCAAATGTGCGTACGTGATGTCGTTATGGTAACATAACGAATATTGTTATGTGTGCTGCAAAACTATCTGTAGTTGATGTTAAAGCGGGAGGGTCGTCACTTGCGCACGCGCGGGAATTAAGTTCCAAGTAATGATAGCAACACACACTAAAAACGTAAAGGCCAATTGGTAGACACTTGTTTGTAAACAATGACACGCTATGGCCATCTGACGCATCCGCAGGCGACGACTCCCCTGCTTTAAAGCATAATCTGATATGGTTTACAGTATGGAGTATCGACAGAAATATTTAAAAAAAAGTCTTCAATATTGCATTTTTAACACGTCACATTAGTCTCACATGGCACATTCGAATTTATTTTAAACAGATTTATACAAAGCAAATTACATGGCTAATGTTTATATAATTATTATTAGTTTTAATATTTCAAGGTAATCTGCCTATTTCAGTGTAGAACGCAACAGTATACTTCAGGGCCAAGCTGTTTGAAATATAACATGATTTTGTTTTATACATTTAATTTCAAATTAACTGTATTTCTATTTTCTATTTTATGTCTTAATTTCACCGGGAATGTGCATTTCAAATATATATTTATTTAAAAAAAGATAAATTTGAAACTAGCTTTACGCTCGAAAATGACAAATTATATTCATAGATTTCAATTAACTGTCAACTGAATTCTTTCCAATGACGGGCAATACAAGTAATAAAGCACCTTTAACATCTTAGTCTAAACTGTCATTATTCAAACTATGACATGTGTTATGACTTATTTCAGAAACATTGGTTAGTTTGAAAAAGAACTGTGACGTGTTGACGTCAGAGCAACTGGAAATGATCCATAATTCCAATGACTTCATAAATGCGCTACAAGAAGAAGGGTTCCTATGGGATGATAACATAGAGTTTCTATGCGAGTTGCTAAGAAGAGCCAATAGGATGAAGACTATCAAACAATTGAGATCTTTTCAATTCAAGATCAGAAAAGGTATAATACATGACAATGTGAAATATACTTTATAACATGCGGTAATAGATATCTGGCGATTTTATCAAATGGTATTATAACGATGGTGAATTCCCCCACAGCGCAATAGAACACAAGTTTTCGTCGCGACACAGTGTTGATACCAAGTGTAAATTATGGTAATTTTTTCGTTATGTCATTGGGAAATTTGCATGCCACAATAACAAATTCGTCGCCAAGTTTATTATCCTGACTAAACACGACTACACTAAATGAAACTGGCTGGAGAAGTTGTACTCTTTTAATTTTCACATTAATCTGCAATCGACACTGTTAGGAACCGCTTAAACTGGATGTCCCACGCTGAAAAAATGTTTAGGATTCTTGCATGGAAGACATTCATACTAATGCAAAGATAACTGTGAATTGCATTTAAACAAAAGCTGTTTAACGATCATTCGCAAGATTGGATACCCACATTTTATCTGAATACAAGGGTAGATTACAAATACAATATAGCGAACGCGATTGATAACCACAATATCACATTGTCGCACTAAATTTCAAAATAATATTGATTTATAACATCTTGCATATTGAAGACAAGAAAGTACAAGCAGCAAAACGAGTAGATCGACTTCACAAAAATATTGCGATGAAGGAGGTCAAGATAACTGTGTTGGAAACCAATTTACGAGAGAAAGACGCCACTATAGCGGAGAAAGACGCCACTATAGCAGAGAAAGACGCCACAATCGCCGATCTGCAGGCAGAAAACCAATCATTGAAGGACAAGTTACAAAGCGCTGAAGAAGAAGATGGTATGCAGGATGTCTTATCGATTAACATGTCGTTAAACGAGTGCAATAATCGCTTAGCTAAATTACTGCATTCAATGAATGAGAATACTTCTCACAAATGTAGAAATAACCACTTCGAATCATGCCTCCATTCCTGGACGTATTATTACATGTT